ATCAATTTATGTGCTCTTTTTACTCAAATCAAATCGCTCTATCTTTTTGACCATTTCTCGTCACTCTCTCTCTCTCTAACTTCTCTTTTCTCTCTAAACTCTCGCCAAATTTCACATTTTCTTCGATCTTCAAAGATCAAGTGAGATTTTGATACTAGTTTTTTATACAAAAATGATGAGTGTCTTGAGGGCTACATTTTGACTGGTAGAGATCAAATTCCAGCGAAGTTGATTTTTGGAGTTTTCTCCTCTTCTCTCTTTGAGGCAGGAATTTCTTTGTTCATTTTCAATACCTTATTATAGATAGACATGTGATAATTTTTATTGTATTAAAACTTGATTTATTAGGTATTTTTGAAAAGCATGTGACGATGGTTAGGATTTTATGATCTAGAGTTAAATCTTGTATTTTGTTGTGAATATTTGAGATTGTAATGTTCGAGTAACATGTTTAAAAGGATTAGAGTAAAAACCGCTAAGTAATTGTTTATGAGTTATGAGAAAGAGGAGAAAATTGGTGATTTGATTTTATTTGAACCATATCGGGTATTGTGTATTAAAAATGTGAAAATGGGTATGTAAAACAAAACGGAAAGTTATCATGAATATAATTTGTGTTAATTGTTATTTATGATTTTATAATTGTTAAGTTGTAATAATTGTCAAAAAATCAGAATTTCGGAGAAATAAAAGGGTATTGATAAATGTTATGTGTATTGAAAGATTTGTGGATTGGTTAATCTCATTTTTTAGAGTTGTGATGAAAAGTCCCAAATCCTTTGGTTATTTATTTATTTGAGAGATATGATTAATTTGTGTTACATATGTGTTGGATTATGAAAATAAATTACTAGTTGAGTTTTGATAATTAATGAGAAAAATGTGACGATTTGTTGTGGGCATTGGGTGTTTGGAGAGAAGGAAAAATAAATTTTGAAAATCAATAAAACATTTATATACTTTTATGAAATGAGAAGTAATAGTGATGGAAGAGACTTCAATTATGAGTTTTGAAATCGGCGTGAATTGAAAGTTGAATTAATTAGAGTTGAAAGATGAAAGTTATGTAACGTATAAATGTTGATAAAATCTAAATCATGAGGATGAAATTGAATTCATGGACTTGGTACTTGTTGTTTATAAGGCTGTGTTATTGGGCATCGGTAGAGGATGATATTGACGTTATTGAATAATTTGTGAAATTTGGAATAATGTATCAATTGTTGAATTGAATGAAAGTACACATTGATATGGGTTCCTCTCCCATTCGGATTTGCGCCCGATAAAGTTTGGCGCTTTGACATGGGTTCCTCTTTCTTCTGGTTCACACCCGGTAAAGTGTGAATGGGTTCATCTCCCCTCCAGCTCGAGGATTGGTAAAGTTTGGCACTTTGAAATGGGTTCCTCTTCCCTCTGGCTCGCGCCTGGTAAAGTGGGCTGTGGTAGTTATGGCTTGATGAAGCCGAGGTCCATTATGTGTTAATTACGCATAATGCATCTTCATACTTGTGTTGTGATGAGAAGGGATGCATCATTGGCTTTCCGTGCTTGTGATTGGTAAAATATGGTAATGCGCGTTGACCCGTCTTTTGTTGCTTATATATACATGCATTTGTGAACATTCATTTTACACTTGCACTTAAGACCATAATATATAGTAATTGTCCTTGTAGCAGTAATGAGTTGGAATGTAGGACGAGTATATTGTTTTGATCGATCTTAGGAGACTGTGGTAATGTTATGAATGATTGAGATTTCTTTAAATGCAAATGAAAAGTCTTGAAAGGTAAGAACATGTCTTTGTTTCTTGTTATGTTAAAGAAAATCTTTTAAAAAATTGTATTTATGTAAGCATGTTTTGAAGTATGAAATGTCACATTATATATATATTTATATACGTGGAGTATTCATGATCATAGCTATCTATATGTTGCTCATGTTTAGGATTATTGGGATTTTTACTGGACTTTTGTATTCATCCCATGTTGCTAATCATTTTTCAGGTATGGAGTGAAGAGTTACTCGAGACTTAAAATCTGTTAATTGTTGGCCATGAGACCTTTTAAATGCAAGCAGAATGCCAACGTGTTGTAAAAAGGGTTAATCCTTTTTATATATTTTGTTATTTTGTAAAATGACGTAACGCTTATGAGCTTATATTGTATTTCATTACATGCACATGAGAGAGAACATTGTAATTTATTCATTTCTAAATACCTTTGATATTTATTATTATTGAAATGGATTGATTTAAAACAAAAATGTAATATTATCTAAATAATAAAAGTTGGGTGTTATAGACAGTGTCCTCTAGTTTGAATCGGAGGGAATCCAATGTTGGAACAATCTTCTGTGTAAATAAAATAACTAGAAATAAATTCAAACAAAATAAATAAATAACATACCGGATTTATTTTGTCGAACCAAATAAAATTACAAGACCAAGTCGAGTGTGTGACACTCTGTCCTTAAGATAGATTCGCCCCGCTATGGTACTTACGGATGAGTGGCGTCTATCTCCCAGGATACAATGATCTTCACAAATTGTAGTAGTACTCCAAACAATTTATTCGGCGAACCAAACCTGTGTTCTAGCTCTCTGAATATTTATTCCTAAAACTAAATATGAGGAATAATGCACTAAAAGAAATGGACAGCCAAGGGACCAAATATCAGACTGAATTTCGGATTGAACTTTTTATCTTTTTCCGGATGGAATTTTTTTTTTCCTGCCTAAACTGCTGGAACAAAAGTGTATATATAGGCAAAATCAAAAGTCCCGAATAGGTGCCACCATTAAGTGAAAAGGTGCACCTCAATTTCAAATCATTCCACTGACGGTTAACACTAAGAAAACCAATATAAAACAATTTGAAAAATTGACCGTTCAACCAATTGGAAATAGAGTGAACCGTTGGTGGAAAAGTCAAACTTGTGGGAACTAATTTATTTAAACTATTTGTAACTTATATAAATTAAACTATTGAATAATAAATATATATTAAACAAATTGAATAGTTTAATAAATAAAGTAAGAGGTATAAATTTTAAGAAACCACTTAGGAACTCAAAAATTTGAATTTAGGATTAAATTAAATTCCCACAATAATTTTTATTGAAAAAATTCAAAAGAATTTTTATCAAAGAAATTAATGTTAAACCTGAAAACGACATCAACTTCCCATTTACTCATAAATGGTTTTAATGTTCCGTCTTCACCGTGTGACTTGCCACGCGGCAAGGAACACGTCACCTCTTCGGACCCACCCCAAAAGATGTTTGGGGCCCACCCAAAATGGGCTCAAAATTATGCCTATATAAAACCATTTTCCAACATCCAACACATTTGTTAGGTGTTTAATATCGCATGTATAATATCTTATAGATTTTAATATCTCATGTATAAAATCTTTATGAATTTTGTTAAATTTGTATTTAGATAAATTACAGAGATCTTGTTTGAAATTTGATAAAAATATAATAATTTTATAATTTTAGTATAATTAAACACATCCCTTCTTCCGTCATGATAAATTAAACAAACCAAACAGATGATGTAAACTCAATGGAAATATGCACTTTATAATTAGAAAAGAAAATGACAAAATTTTTTATTTTTTAAGTCATAACTATAAAAAGAAAGGCTATAATCAAACAGTATATCATAAATTAAAAGTAAAAAGAAAATTAATTGTAACTAAAAAAAGAAAATAGTATAGATAAAAATGCGTATGGTAGGTGTGTATATGGTAAAGTCTCCAAAATTTTGCCATTATTCACGACTTTGACTAATTGTCTTCGTATAGTCAACTTTATCAAATGTAAATGATATCTAATTTTGATATTAGGGCCCATTTGATGCACTAATCAAGCAAAAGCTTCGTTTGGAAAGTCATGGTTTGAGCTTTTTTTAGTTATTTTAGTCACAAAAAATAAAATAGGTTATTTTAACCATAACAAATAAAACATCACATCCAACCCATAATCAATTTATGTTTTTTGAATTTAAAATTAAATAAAGAATAAAATTATATACACCAATTGATATATCAGAATTTAAAATTAAATAAAGAATAAAATTATACACACCAATTGGTATATCAATTAATTTACTAATAGATAATGTAGCATGATCTTAGAGGTTTTATATCTTTGTAGTTTGTATAATGAGTGGGGTTCATAAATTTGAAATGATAATGTTATAATATATGTTGATACACTAATTAGTATATCAATTAGTGCGTGTAGTAAAACTATTAAATAAATCATGTACCAACAAATTTCCTTATCAAATTACGGTAAAACTTGATTATCAATTCAATTTTTTTGGGCGAAAATTCTAACAATGTTATATATATATATATAAACAGGAAGCACATCACGTCCAATTCATAATCATTACACTTTTCTTTCACAAAAAAAGTTAAAAAAGTCAAAAAGCCTAAAAATCTTTCCCAAACCAAGCTTTTTAGCCCAGGCTAAAATAGCCAAAAAAGTCAAAAAGCCAACCCACTTCCCAAACCAACTCTAAATATATTTCTGTTTGGAAAGTGATTAAATTAATCAAAAAGTCAAAAAGTTATTATAAAAAGTCAACATATTTTGTCTATTTTTTACAAATATTTTCTTAATAAATCAAAAAATTATTAAAGAAAAAGACAATTATCAGATAAATATTTTCCATTTTTTGTATAAATATTTACATCAAGTAAAAAAATGTTATAAATGTTTTTTCAAGAAAAGAATTGTGATTGCCAACCATTATATGTTTTATTGTAATTTAGGAATGAACCTTACTCGTAAATTGTTATTTTAATTTTGAATTAAAATATATAAAAAAAAGTCAAAGTCCAAATTATGATCCAACTGAAATATAGTTGGAAAACCAAACCGGATAATTAAAATAAATAATTAATAGTACAGGGACTATTGTGCAAAATACACTCCCAATATGGACGTTGGTTCTTAGGTGGTGGTGGGGTGGATTTTTCTGCCGGCCTTTCTCTCTCCTCTCTCCTCTCTCCTCTCTACAGGGGTTCGGTTGTATAAATAAAGATTTCTCAAAGATTTGTATGGAGCATAAAACAACAGTATGATCAAACTATGTATGCTTATATACCCACAACCCATTTACCCTTCATTTTCTTTCTCCTTCAATCTCTGAATTCTGATAAACAATAATCCCCCAAAGATCTTCACAACACCAATCCTCATCATTCGAATTTCAAAATTCGAAGACACATCAACTTTCACTCTTTTTAGTACTTGTTTAGAACCGAATTGAAATTCAATCAGTCAAGCAATGGCTGTGAAGATGATGAAGTGGCGACCATCGAAGAAATTTGAAGCGAAGATCATCGTTTGTCGGCTTGAAGGCCTGTGTAGATTGTCAGGAAAAGGGTCGGAAATCGAAGAATTTGGGCGATTGGCGGTTGAGATTAAGTGGAAGGGTTCGAAGAGTAATGGGCTGAGTTATCTGAGGCGAAGTGTGAGGAGGAATTATGCGAAAGAGGAGAGTATGAGAGAGGATGGGGTTGTGGAATGGAACGAGGAGTTTCGGAGTGTTTGTAGCTTTTCGGCGTATAAGGAGGGCTCGTTTCATCCCTGGGAAGTCACATTCACGGTCTTCAACGTGAGTTCTGAATTGGGTTTTTCTTTTTCTTTTTTTTTCTTGTTTTCTTTTCTTGATTTGTTGAGGTTTTGAATTGGGTTTTCTTTATTTTTCTTGATTTACTGAGCTTCATCTGTGAGTAGGTTTGGTAGATAATATTGGAAGTTGCTCTTGTTTATTTTCTCTTGGTTCTTTTGTTTGATTGGACTTATTTGGTTGCTGAGAAACTATAGGAATTAGGAGCCTAGAAATCTTTGGTTCAAGTGAAAGTATTATTTTAATAATTTTAGTCTGAAATTACATTTTAATTGTTTTGAAGTTTACTCAGTTTTCTAAGCAACCAAACAGAGGCCAAAGGGTTTGACTTTTCCATCAAGAAATGGATAATGGGAATATTTTTTATTTATTTATTTATTTTTGTGGGGTGATAAATTGGTATTTTGTACTATGAATTTAGATTCTCATGATTATTTTACATGGAATTTCCAGTTCTTGGGTTGGTTTTGATTTGTTGATCTAAGCCTTTTGGGGTGCAAAATTCTCAGAAGTCAGAACTATGTAATTGGAAAATGTTCTTATATTTATGGAATTATTTTTTCTTTTTTCGATGTGGAGGCTACAACATATGGAGATAAGTTTCTGTCTTCACTTCAAGAGATCTAGTTAAATTTTCGAACTTTCATAACAGGTTTGTTCGCCTGAGATATGTCAAACTTTCAACAATTCTAGATTTTTTTATTTTATTTTATTTTTTTGAATGTAATATTTTATTTAACCTTTCGAGTTTGAAGTTGTTAGCCTGATTAGTAAATCATCTGATAAGAATCTGACTCTTTTTTACGATTCAGGGCTTGAACAAAGGACCAATTAACAAGGTACCTGTTGTTGCAACTGCATCATTGAACCTCGCAGAATTCGCTTCGGCAAATGAAGAAAAAGAGGTCGAAATTAGCATTCCTCTCTTGGTCCCTGGTGGCAGCAGCCAGTGCAGCCCCTCACTTTGTGTAAGTGCCTTTTCAATTGGTTTCAATCAAGGTTTTGAATTTTGTACCGGCTAAAATACCTTTTTGTTCATTAGTGTGGTACATACCAGTATTGATTAATTTTTAGATACTGTTTTTTATTTATCACACAAGTATATATCCAAAAATTTGCTACAAAACAACCAATAATAAGTTCCAAATATCTCAAGAGGACGGAAACACATACCATTGCTTGCGGAACCTGATGTAAAGTATAAGGTCATTACTAAACAACCTGATGTAATAGTGAAAAAACTCATATGAAGTGCCAGACAAAACTCTGGATTTTACAAAAATCAGGTGAAAAGTTCCAGTATGGCCAAAATTGATCGAAACTATCCGATAAGTTAGGCGAAACGAAACGAAACTGTTTTTGTACCCGATTGTTTGTGGAACGGTACATACAGATACAGGCCGGTACGGAACGGTATTCAAAACCTTGGTTTCAATTAGGCTTTCTTGTTTGTTGTATATTTCATTATGTTCTTACTTCTTTAACATCACAAGTCTAGTCCCTCTTTTGTTATTTATGTTTCATTGATACCAAGTTCATCCATCATGCAGTTATCTCTCAGCTTTCTGGAATTAAGGACTTCCCAGGAACCCTTGGAGACAGTCCAGAGATCAGTAGCATCTTTTGCATCATCACCGCAATCTGCAGATGCTTTATCAACTGAGAAAGATGAGGTTTCTGCTCTTAAAGCAGGTTTGAGAAAAGTAAAAGTTTTCACAGAATACGTTTCAGCTCGAAGAACGAAGAAGGCATGCCGTGAAGAAGAGGGCAGTGACGGGAGGATTTCTGTCAGAAGTGAGGATGCTGAGTACAATTACCCGTTTGACACGGACTCGCTCGATGATCTTGATGCAGGGGAATCAGAGGAAGGAAAAGAGGATTCTAGTGTTCGGAAGTCTGTCAGTTATGGATCATTGACTTATGCAAATTTTGCTGGAGTGTCGGCTTACTCGAATGCAACCAATAGTGAAGACGAGGACTGGATCTACTATAGCAATCACAAATCAGATGCAGGGAATTTGACTGCATCGGTCAATGATCAGTGGTTGCGACAGAGTTCAAAGCGCAGTATCCTCCCTTGGAAAAAGAGGAAGTTGAGCTTCAGATCGCCCAAAGCCAAGGGAGAGCCTCTGCTCAAAAAAGATTGTCGAGAAGAAGGTGGAGACGACATTGATTTTGATCGCCGACAACTTAGTTCCTCTGATGAATCCACTTTTGAGGTATTTATCTGTTCTTGATTTCTTTCTTGTTTTTCTATTAGTTGCTTTTCATTTCCTGATTGAAACTATATTTCAAGATTAGCAAGCTTCTATATCCATGTTAGATGATACCTTTTTCTTTTTGGTGTAGAGGTCATTGCATTTACCTCACTTTTGCAAATCCACTTGGTTGACAATGCATGCGAATTCGAATGAATGATGATAGCCTTTATTAAATATGTAAATATCCATATTTGGCATTGCATCTTTTGTATTTAAGGTGGAAATATGATATGAGTTGGTTTCTAGTGACTTGTGTGAGAAGAAAGGTTGTTCATTCTATCGAATGCTTCGAGTTTGTCGCACTTGGGTCATTTTATAATTGTATTATTTTCTTCCCATGTCTTTGTTTCCCTATGATTGAACAGTATTGTTTCATATCCTGAAATTGCCTATCAATCTGGCAGCGAAATAAAGCAGAAGATTCAACTGCATATGGTGGATCATCAGCGGCCTCTGAATTTGGGGATGACAATTTCGCAGTAGGCAGCTGGGAGAAAAAGGAAGTAATAAGCCGTGATGGACAAATGAAGCTCGAAACCCAAGTTTTCTTTGCATCAATCGATCAAAGGAGTGAACGGGCTGCAGGTGAGAGTGCATGTACAGCCCTGGTTGCCGTCATTGCTGATTGGTTCCAGTCCAATCCCAAGCAAATGCCTATCAAGTCCCAACTAGACAGCCTGATCCGAGAAGGTTCCTTAGAATGGAGGAATCTCTGTGAAAATGCTACCTACATGGAGCGTTTTCCCGACAAACATTTTGATCTTGAGACAGTCCTTGAAGCCAAAATTCGATCTCTCTATGTGGTTCCTGAGAAATCCTTCATTGGATTCTTCCACCCAGAAGGACTAGAAGAGGTGGAAGAAGGTTTTGACTTCCTCCATGGTGCTATGTCCTTTGACAGCATATGGGATGAGATCAGTCATTCTGGGTTGGACAATGCTAGCAATACTGACCCTCTGATCTACGTTGTAAGCTGGAATGATCATTTTTTCATCTTGAAGGTCGAACAGGATGCTTACTACATCATCGACACATTGGGTGAGAGGCTTTACGAGGGTTGCAACCAAGCCTACGTCCTCAAATTTGATAAAGACACAACAATACAACGCCTTCCTAAAGAGGCACAATTGTTGGATGACAAACCAACGAATGAAAATGTGGCATCAAGGGAAGAAGGGACAGAGATTGCCATCACCAATAAGTCGGAGGAAGAAGAATTGGTTGTCTCGATACACGTGCGGCTTACCCTCTTGAGGAGTACATCAAGAGGTTTTTGGCTGCAATACCGATTAGGGAATTGCAGGTTGACTTGAAGAAGGGGCTGATGGCATCAACGCCTCTTCATCATCGGCTACAAATTGAATTTCACTACACGCAGTGCTGCTTGGAGGAGCCTGTGGATTGGTTTTCGTTGGTGCAAGCAACGGCTGATGATACATTGGCAATATCTTCATTGGCTGTTGTTTAGGGGTTCAAATCCTATAAACTTCGTGTTAATTATCAAGTGTTAATAGCCTAACCCTTCTTTGTGTTTTTGCTGCATGTTTTTAGATGAAATTGAAAAGCTCTATTTTCATCTTTTCTTTTTTGCCATAAATTTCTTCTTTCACACAAGTGGTTTTATTTAATCCTCTTTTTTTCCCCATTTCTTTCTTAGGGATGATGATGATGATGTAACTGACTGTTCATACTGCTAATAGCTTTCTCTTATTTAGCTGTGACTTCTGATGTTGATTAAGCTGTTGTTTTGAATTTCATCTTTCTATCTATATGTTTTTCCTCTCCCTTAAAAAGAAAAAAATTAATTGATAATTAATCTTCTAAATTTCAGTGTGAGGTAAGTTTCTACTTCCTCTAAAAACATTTTTGAGCCATTTGCAGATGCATGGATTATGGGCAGGAACAACTAACTTATCATGGGCCTTGCAGTCTCAGTGATATCCAGAAATTTGTCGTCATAGTAGAGACAATAGGATAAGCAACCTATGCAGCTGTTGAGGAAAAAATGGAGCCTTCAACAATAAGAACTTACAAAAAAAAAAAAAAAAGATTTGGTGGATCTTAATTAACGGGCTGAAAGTAGTCTACTGATTGAACTACGTCGGACCTTGTATAAAGTAAGACTTGACTAGTAAAACTTGTAATCATTTTCTATCAAGATGAGCGTTTCATTGGATTGGAGGTCTAAGAGAGATAAATTGAGTACGTACTTAACTTTCGACATTATTTGCACAAAGTGACTATTTCTAGATTTGAATCCACTACGTCAAAGTTGAGGTACCAAGTTTTAATTGGTGAAAATAGAGCATGGCTTTATGGAGAGTGTCCTAAGTTTTCAAAGTTTTGTACCAATTTTGAGTTTTAATTGTGATGTTTTCTCAGACTTGTGTACTTCCAATCAGCCAGATATAGATCTCATTTTCTGGTCATGCTGTTCACACTAAACATTTAACCACCCAATGCATTGCTATGTATTTATAGTGGAGGGGAGAATTATCCCTATAACCACTTGTAACCTTTCTGATCATGGTAAAAACCGTAACAACCGTCAATGTAGCCCTAATTTTGGAGTGAATCACATAAACTTTGTATTTGTTGTTTGTGCATATTTGTCATTCATGTGTTCTTCTTTGTGTTACGTATCTTACCAATCATAGTTAGATGTTACGTATTGCTAATAAGATGGAGATCTTTGTACAGGATCAGGGCCTCGTTAAGAAAAGAAAAGAAAAAGAAGATATCGATTCAGCTGCAACATTATAACCACTTTCAGTAGCAATGAACACATTCCACAAACCATTAGACAGTCATCTGGGCATGAAAACCCCAGCATTCAAAATTGTAGTGCATCGAGTGGAAGAAACTTTGGGCTCAAAATATGATTGAATCTTATTGTTAAAGATCAAAAGGGAGAATACAGGATTCTATTGGTGTCGACTTTATAGAACAACGGTACAGTAGTCCCACCGTTAGCTGGTAGCAGCAAAGCTCCAACCTAAATTGCTTTGCTAAGCAAAACAGAAGTATAAGCAGTGAATTTTCTCATAAGCTCCTTCAGGCACGAGAAAAATGGAAGTGGTACAGTTTGGTAGGTAGTTTTCATCACTTCCCCGTTGAACAGAGCTGAGAGACGAGCTTCAGAACTCCCCACATGGGTGCATCATTCTGCAGGTAAACAACATAAAACAAATTGAAATGAAACAATAAATTGGTGATGAAGATACTGTATATTCCCTTGAAACACCCCTCTCTCATGAATTAAGGGTACACAAGAGACACTGTAATTTCCAAGGGATAAGATCTCCCACTAAACAGAACAGCAATATTTTTAAACATTTGTGACTTAAATTTTCTATTTAATAAAAGAAAGAAATAACCACGTAAAAAAGCATCATATCAACTTACAAAAGAAAAAGAAAAAAAGAAGCATATCTGAAGCAATGCCCAAACATAATGCTTGCGTAACATGCTTCTTACCATGAGGTGCCCCTTTCATCACAAATTAAGAAAACAAAAACAAAAAAGTCACAATGTTCTTATGCAAATTAAGTACTAAATTTCCAATGCAAAAACAGTTTAGTACTGACTTTTAGATTTGAAATCTTTCACACAAATATCTTGGCTAAGAATGAATATGAAAACTACTTTTCATTGAGTGCATTCAACATTCAATGATAAGTCAAGTTTATTCGAGTAAAAGTTAAAGTGGTAGGTTATTACAGATAATCAAACACAACAAAACTACTGCATGTATTCAGTTTTAAGTACCTAATCACATTATCAAACAGGGGTCTATGAACTCATACCGTATTTGCCATAAGAAAATTTGTAAGGATTCATGATGCTCAATGATTATGATGCTCAATGATTGACACTTATTCCTCTATATATTTACAGGGCATCTGAGTGGTCAATTATGTCAAATAATATCATCTAGATAGGTTATTATGTTATCCTGGTGCAGGTGGTGAAGACCTGTTTTTGTAAATGAATGTTCCCGAGGTCGCAGGAAATGGAGGAAAAAAAGGAAACCAAATGTGCAGTTCACTCACCAGATACAAAACATCAAATGCTTCACGGTAGCTATCAAGAGAATTCATGACATTGTCATTCCTGCAACAGTAGTTTATAATGTTAAGCGACTATATCTATTCACAAATCATCATCTTCCAACATTCAATCAAAGTCTCTGCCATATATATACACAAGCAAATCAAGAACAGTTACGATTTCTCATATGCGGCAGCTCATGGGATATTTTTCTTCCTATATGCTAATGAAAACAAAAAATAAATAAATGAAAACACATCTTCAGTCTAGTGTCCATCAGCTTCCAGAAACCACACGGCAAAAGGCTTTGGTGGGCAAGAAGACATGGGTTGAAGTCTCACCAGCAGACAAGGGCTACTATGGTCACACTCAGGTAGGTAAGGTCATCAGATGATGGTTGCCCCCACTTTTTCTCATCAAAAAAAATAAAAATAAACAAATAATTAAAAAAATAAAAATATTACAGTAACATCATAACATGGAACAAGTGGTTGAATTGCTACGACATGCTTGACTCAAACTCAACAGTGTTCTAATTATTTAAGGTCGGCTACCTGGATCCATTTCCACCCACTTCTATCCAAAATCATATCCTTAGTCAAGTTTACGGTGATTATGTCATTTCTGATCACCTCAACCCATGTTCTCCTTGGTCTTTCTCTATTTCTTTTACTGCCCTCCATGTGGATCATCAAATCACTCCTTACGGGTGCATAAATTGGTCAATGATATACATGACAATTATACGCACAAAACGGAAAGTAGAAGAAGAAGAATGAAAGAAGAAGCTGCAAGATAATATACAGCTATTGACCAAAATTAAGGTTCTCTCCCTTAGAAACTTGTATTTCGATTAGAATGGTTCAAGGTACATAAATTCTCCTCAGATAACTAAAACATAAAAACATAACATAACAATGACCATACGATCTCAAATGATTTTCCTTAATTTTATCTTCAATTAGTGCCACTTATTTATGTAATACCTAGAAAAACCGTATTGAATTACTTAATAATGAATTTAAAAATAAAAGTATTTCCATGTGTTTATACTAAATATGGATCAAGTACGGAATTGACCTAGCGTAACAAAAAATTATTTGTTCATCCATCGTTGTATTCGATTTATTGTGACATCAGATCTGTACATGGTGGCCACTAATATTCTGGCCCCAGAGGATAGAGGCACTTAGGGGGTCCACTAATGGGTAGCTGGGAGATGGGTGGGTAGAGGCTACAGGTGGGCAATGTCCCCTGATGGCCCACCCAACCCAACTGAACCCAATATTTTTAGTGCTTCAGATAAGTATTTTTGCCTGTAAGGCCAGATGGGGATAAGATTTTGAGCACGTTTCTTTTCGAGCTAGGCTTAGTATGAGAAATTCTAGCCAGGCACAGCACAGCCAGCCTATTTATAAAATTTCATATTATGATGAAAATCAATCTTTAATGGTGTAGATCTGTGCAAGGAGGGTGCAAATCGAACCAAAACGCAAAGAGATTTGAACGAATCTCACCAAAAATGGAAGGAATCACAGCATAAATGGATTAGGTATGTCTTGGACCCAACCCAATGTGAACGAATTTACATAGCAGCTGAACCGGCCTTTATTTATTTGAATCAGGCTGGTACAAAAGAAAACCAATAATTAATCCGGTTCAAACCAATACATACCACAAACCATCCGGTTTGAATACAGTTTTTTATCCCACAGGTAAACCGTGTGTATCCAAACCGAGTTGGCCAAAAACCGATATGAACCTGTTGGTTTGCTATGTACCAGCTGGTTTTCAAAATCATGATATGGACACAAAGTACTAGTTCATAGAAATTGAATGTCCTACGAGTTTTACAAGAAAAAATAAATACAGAGGAAAAACATTCATTTTCAAGCAAATGATTTTAGTGCCAGGATAGCAAAATTGGATACAAGTTATAGCTGACAGAAATTTTAAAAAAGCAAAAAATAAAAAAGGGAATAAAAAAGCTGCACTAGACCTGTACAGACACCATGTGCACTATTACTTTTCCGACTAGAATGGAGAATTTTAATTTTATGCCACAATCAAGTTCACTCCAACACCTATTAGAGTGCATCTTTAATAAAGTTTCCCCATTACTATCTATAAGCATGATATGATTTGAGTAATGCATTTTGCAGTATATTACTTCAGAAAATGAACAAGAATGCGTAACCATAGAAAATAAGAACTTCGGATATTTAAGTTTCAAATTTACTTAACCAAAAAATAAAAAATATTCAAGTGCAATGAAATCATCTTGAGGTTTGGATAGAGGGATCACATAATTTTATAAGTACCTATTTCCTAAAAAGCATGGACACACGACACAACACGACACGGACACATTGATACATCAATTTTTAAAAAATGCAAGACACGACACGTGGGGGACAAGCATGAAATATATATAATTTTATATATTTATCATATGTTATATAATGAATATGTCATTCAAAAATAAAAAAAAATGCAACATGACACTGTGGAGAAAGTGGTTTGGAAATACTCTTCCGATCCAAGATCCTGGGGAACGCTCGAGATTCTCTGTTAGCCACCTGAAAAAGAATCAATACTCCGGTCGGGGGTGCCGGAATTAGCACTCCGACGGGCAAGTCAGTCTCTACTCTTTGAATTACTTGTATTTTAAGTGAAGTGTAATAGTTCTCACATACCTCTTTCTGGCTGATGTTCTTCTATTCATATATTTTCTTTCTTGGGCCTCGGGATCGGGTCCACTTTCAATTCGCTATTCTGCTTCAACTGTAACAAACCGCTTTTCACTTGGCCCCTTGCTCGACCGGCTATTGGGCCGAATAGGATAGGGTTCGAGCGTGTGAGATGGCGCCGAATGCTATATATTTCGACCCAGAGTTCGACTATTCGGCATCTCTGCGACTCCCAATATTCGGCCCTCACAATTCCCCCCCAAGCACTCCACTAACGACAGTTGGCTGGGGTGTTTGGTTTCGGACTTGAAAAGTCAGAGCCGAAATTCGGTGGCTGACCTCATTCCAACGCAAATGTCTGAGCACACGCTTCTCGGTTATCACTTCAACTTCCCGCCCCTTCGTACATTTCTATTTATTGTGATTTAAAATTTGGATGTCTTTTCAAATACATACACACTTTTAGATGCTCGTCACTGGACTGCCTTCCGAATTACCTCTGCAACTTCCTTTTCTTTACTATCCTCCTCATCTCTTGTAAGTTCTCTTCCTCTCTGCCTTGAATCTTTTCTCTTGCTTTGTTTTTGGCTTAGCACGATCCTATAAATTGAAAGAAATAGCAAAACATTTAAAAGATCTCCTTTCCTCGGATCGAATCTCTGGCTTCCGACGCCATTTCTCCATTCCTGATGACGTCCGTCTGTCTGACAGACGGCACCTCGATATGGAGAGGGCTGATGAAACCACGATTGTCTTCCCTCTCCTATCAATCGCAGAGGGTGGAGTCCGTTTTCCCCTTCACCCATTCCTTAGGGCTGTGCTTTGTCATTGGGGTTTAATCCCTTCCCAACCCAATGTCAACTTTTTTAGAATCGTAATGGGGATTATCGCACTAAACCGTCTCCTTAGGATTAACCTCGGCATTTCTGCTATTCGGCATTGTTATGCCTTGGCCAAGTCTTCTAGTCGGCATGGGCGTTACTTCCTTAGGGCCAAGGACACCGACCATCAACTAGTGACTATGCTTTCCAGCTCTGGGAAGCGAGTCGACGATGTTATGGTCGTTGTCCAAGATAATTGGGAATTCGGCGAAGGCGAGGATCGCCTCAATCCTATTCCTAGACGAAGGGGCGAATCAGGTGGCCGTGTAGCTTCTTTTATTTGTTTTTTGTTAGATTTATAAAGTTTCATTTTCGAGACCTCATGGTTTTGCTTGTGCAGGGAACGATTTGAAGAAAGCCCGAACTTCAACCGACGACGCCGTTCTCTCGAAAATCAAGGTTGCGCTCAGACATTTCGACTGGCCGAGTCTTCAAAAACAGGAGAGGGCGACCCACGTTCTTCTCCGCTTCGAGCCGACTTATACGACCTCGGCGACAGAAAACATCCCAATTCCGAAGCGTGAGGAGTTTCTTACCGCCCTTATCTTGACCGATTTCAAAAATTTGAGGCAAGTCGGTTTCGAGGGGTTCGATTCGGAACGACCAGAAGTAGCTGAGGTTGCTGAGTCCAATCAGTCCGAAACCGAAGTCGAGGCTTTGAAGTTAGCCTTTGAGGAAGCCGACCTCAACTCAGCCGACCCTCCATCTACTTTGGGCCGAGAGGACCTTCCACTTGACGATATTTTTCACGGTCTAGAGGACCTTCCCGGCGCGTACCCCGAAGATATGGCTGGGTTAAGCCTCACAAAACTTGCCAAGAAGGTCAACACGGAAAGGATGGCAGCACGGCGAAGGGCAGAGGCCATTCGAGCTAGAGTGCCTCCTGCCACCGAATCTCAACCCTCCCTGCCTGTTAGCAAATCTCAGCCCTCCTTGCCTGTTATTGAGGAGGGAACGGCAGAAAACCAAAGTGCCGAGGCCGAGTTGGTTGTGCAGGCCGATCAAGAGGCTGAACAAAGGGCAGAGAAGCGCCCTGCCGAGGTTGAGGCTGGCTCAGAAGATAACCGCGCTGACAAACGACCTCGTTTAAAGAAATCGGATGTGATCGTGCCTTTCGTTATTCAACCGAAGATAAAAAAACACGCCGATCCCTTGTGATGCTTCGGTAATTAAAGATCCAACGGTCGCTCTCAGCATAGCTACGTCCGTTTCACTGCCGGCTAACAAGGCGGCTTTTCGGGCGGAGCCGGATCTGGTTGCAATAGCATTAGCCGCACAGTCGGCACTTTTGGTATATATCTTGACTTTGCCTTTTCACTTTATGCAAATACTATTTTGGTCTTAACTTCCAGTTTTGCAGACCGTCGGAAGGATAGCGGAGATGGGCCGTCACCATCATGACGCCATCGAATAGCTCGACTATCTTCAAACAGAAGTTGAGGGCCAAAGGAGCAGGGCCGAGTTCGAGGCTTTAAGGGCGAAGATGGAAGGG